CCCTTCCCATTTCTTCATCAGAGTTTTATGGGATTGGCATTTAAATTTTTGAGTTCTTTATATAATTTAGGTATTAATCTCTTGCTGGATGGATAGCTGAAAAAGATTTTGTTTGTTTCCTGTATGATGAGTGTCCCAAGTTTTCCTAGCAGTTTCTGTGAGGACTTTTTTTTTTTTTTTTTTTTTTTTTTTGGAATGACTGGGGTTGAGAGGGACAAATGTGGTACTGCTGCCATCTAGTGGTGTAAGACGGGAATAGAGAGATCGTGTTATGCACGCAATTTTTTCCTCCATTTATTCTTAAGATTAATCGTAAGTTTATTTTGAGAGTTCCCTTGATACTGTTCAAACTGATCCACTTTTGTGAACTAATAGCAATGTTGTGGGTTATGGGCAGAACTTAGAGTTCCCCCAAATTCACTGTTAAGGCCCTATGCCTAAATAGTGACAATATTTGGAAACAAACATTTAGGAAATTAAACAATGTCATAAGGTTGAATCCCTAACACAGTTGATTGATGAGTTTTGTTTTGTCATCTTCAATACTAGAGAATGAACCATGGCCTTGTCCATGCTAGGTAAGTGTCTACCAATGAGACACACTCCAGCTTTGTTCTTACTTTTTATTTTGAGATAGGTTCTCACTATCTCAAACTTAAGTTACCCAGGCTGGCCTTGACATGACTCTACAGCCCAGGTAGGCCTTGAAGTTTTGTTCCTCCTGCTCCTGACTCCCAAGTACTTTGAGTTACAGACCTGGGCCCCAGTCCACAACATGGTTTCACGATTTGAAAGTTCTTGATCTCTTGTTTCCCCAGTTTGGGGAAGTCATGGGACCTTTAGGACATAAGACCTAGCTGATGGACATATAAGCCATTATGACTGGGCCTTTAAAGGTTCTGTGTGCCTCCAATTCCAATCTAGCTCTGATCCCCAGTCTGCTGCCACGTAAAACAGTGGTACCCCAAGTGCCTGCCATTACAGATACAGCTACTCCAACTGCCATGCCTTCCCTGTCATGCTAGACTGTTCCCCACTCCTGAAGTTGTTTCTGTCAGACGTTTCTGTGGCTGAGAATTGCTGACACACGCTGGATGGTATTTTTATGAGAGGAGAAGAACACCCAGGGGTGATAAACACAGAAGAGAGACCACGTGAAGACAAATGAGACAGTAACCATAGAAACCAAAGAGAGAGGTACCTCTGGTAAAACCAGCCCCATAGGCTCCTTGAATTTGACCCCTCAGATCCCAGAAGTGTCGGGAGATTAATTTCTTTCCTATGTGAGGCAGTGTGTGTTGGTTCTCTCTAGACGCCTCAGAAGACTGGTCCACAAGGCTATCCGTGACAGATGACAGATCAGAGAAAGCCAGTTGAGAAATAGTTCCGTATTCTATAATATAGTTCTCAGTAATTGAAAATCAAATAATAAAATATTATTTTATCACCAGGGTTTAAAGTCAATACTATCTGTTTCTGGTTTAGTAAAAGTCTAAATAGAACTATATGCAGAGGTCACCACTTGGATTATTTGATGGTGACGCAGGGGAGATGGAATGTGCCAGGATGTCAGTTCAGGATCTTGCCAAGGACTACACTCCTTCAGGCCGAGAGAGTCTAAACCATATGGAATCCAACAAAGCTCCATGACTTTTAAACTTTGGACATCTTAAACAAAACTGATCATTTTATCAAATAAGGGAGCCAGGAGACAAGCCCAAAGAAAAACTACTGTCGGCCAAATCTTAGCTTTCCTTCTTGTAAGAGCAAGCCATTCATCATTGCTCACCTTCACATCATCCCACAGGCCACTCCCACTGTCATCATCAGACCCCACCCACTAACTAAGCCAGCCAGCGCCAATACATAGTTCAGGAATGGTCTTTGTATAAGAGCGTTCCTGTATCATTTTGGTCAGTGTCATGCCACATGGGATGGTGGTCCCATCAAATGACAATGGGTCCAAAATTTTTCTATTGCCTAGCGACACTGTAGCCACTGGACAGTTGTAATGGCTCACTGCTTGTGTGTTTGTGACCTTGTTGGTATGGGGAAGCCTACCTGATGCCATTCACATAAAATTGCAGCGTATACAATTATATTCTGCATGTATATTTAGTAATGATAACACTGTTGCTGGCTTATATATTTACCACACTATATTTTATTGTTATACTGGAGTGTATCTGTACTTATTAAAAGTTTACTGTAAACCAGTATGTCACGTTCGTCCCAGCATAGCCTCATACAACCGTGTTTACCAACTCTCTCATTTTCTTCTGTGCTTGGTTGAATCTCATATTTTATTCACCATAATCTTAGGAGGAAAAACCTGGCTCCTCTCTCTCTCTCTCTCTCTCTCTCTCTCTCTCTCTCTCTCTCTCTCTCTCTCTCTCTCTCTCTGTGTGTGTGTGTGTGTGTGTGTGTTTCTGTCTCTCTCTCTCTCTGTC